ATCCTGGCCCCGACTCCTGAAACCACATCACATCTGTGCTGTATCCTGGAGGAGCAATAAACCCCCTCTGTTCTACTGGCTGGTGGAGTCTCATCTTGCTGAAGACGGGGTGCAGGATTGGGGGGGTCCCCGACGTGCCGACAGTCAGCCATGACCGCTAAGGGCTGAGTCATGCACGTGACAAATTCCAGCTGGGTCTTGCTTTCACACAGGAGAACAATGGGATTCCCTCCACATGGGCAAGGCTGTAAAGAGGATTCTGGGGAGTTCCTCCAGGTTTGCCTTCAATCCAGCTCATCTCACCTGGAGCATCTTTGCTATGAGCGGAGCCCAGAAGGGCTGATGGCCCATCCTAAGAAAGGACGTATCCAGAAACTTATAAGACGGCAGAACAATCCATCTCTGCTACCAGCCTGTGCCAGGAACTTTGTAATCCATGTATGTAATTTAATTTAACAATTTTACTCTCAACTTTTTCTTTCTTTCTTTCTTTCTTTCTTTCTTTCTTTCTTTCTTTCTTTCTACAAACCTTTAGATTTTAGAGTCTAGAGGACTGACTCAGTGGACTCTTTTGGTAAGATCTAAGGTATACATTGACCTGGGACTGTGGCTGGTCGTTTGGCATTCCTCCTCCTTTCTGCATTCCCCCGCAGCACTGGTTCACCTCTCCCACCCTCCAGGTCTTCACCCCACTGTGCTGTGTCTGCCGCTAAGGCCCCCGCTCTGACCCAGAGCCCCCTTCACTCCCAAATCACACACAGGCCAGCGATGCCATAGGCTGGCCTTGCCCCCTCCGTCCGGAGCTGTCTCCCTACGCTTCGCTCCCCTCCACCTCCCCCCTGCAAGAGCCGGGCCAGCCCGTGTCACGTTGCTGGATCTTGAGGGGAGCAGCCAGATCACTGATGCACCCATAGGTGGGGGTGTTGGTCCCAAAAATGGTATAGGAGGGGGCCATGTGAGGTATTGAATAAAAGCTTATTATCTGATAATCCTATGTACGCTGTTCTTGTGTTTGTATAATGTCTGTGTGTGCAATTATGAGCATGTACTTGTATGGACACTGAAGATTTCCCTGCATGTGGTTAAGCATTGGGCAGAGCTGAGCCTGTGGACATGCTAATTACCGAGGCCCTGTAGAACAATGGTTCTCAATGGGCTATGGACACACCCAAAGAATGGGGGCTGTCACCTGAGAGCAGCCAGCAGGGAACACAGAGAGGCTGAGGACCAGGTGACCTGCTACATACTAGAAGAGGCCAGGAAGGAGTATAAAGAGGCCATGTGGTCGATGCCATTTTGTTCTCAGCTCAGCACTTCATCCCAGAGGCAGCAGGGCAGGGATTGAAGAGCCCGGAAGACCTGTGAACCCATCCTGATGATAGGATGTGCAACAAGAACTTTTAAGCCAGCAGCTGTAACATCTCTGCTAGAGCCTGCATCGAGGACTGGGAGATTCGGTGCATGTAACGTACTGTACTTTAATAACCTTACTCTCAGGCTTTTCTTTATTGTAATAATAAACCTTTAGATATAGATTCTAAAGGATTGGCCCAGCGTGATTTGTGGGTAAGGTCCAGAGGGTAAATTGACCAGGGATCTGTGGCTGGGTTTTTGGAACCGGACAGAACTTGTTCGGGGTAGGTGGGATTGGGTTCTAAAACCCCCCCACCTGTGTATGAGGCCCGGGGCCATCTGGGGCACGGATATTGCTGGGGTGTCGGAGGGGTTTTGCTCGGGAGGCTTCAGGCAGGCTGCTGAAGCGCTCTGTGAGACTGGTTTGTGGCCTGTTTGGAGAGGTCACCAGTCTGGGGGCTGTAAGGAGCCCCGGATTTGAGCAATTTGCCCTGAGCGGACGCCCTCAGCTGTGCCCAGACACGGCCCGGTCCGCCACACCCCCCCAGCACATCCGCCCTCTGCTCACACAGCCCAGCTGATGGCCCCTATACCAATCTCCCCATGCTGGCTGGCCCCTCAGCACAGCCATGCTTCAGTCTCACCCACACCCTGGCCCCACAAGCCTCTTCCACTGCCCTCCAGCCCCTGCCTCTGCTAAGCACTCCGAATGCTCAGCCATGGGTCTCCCTAGGCCTCCAGCGCACCAGAACCAGCCTGGCCAGGCTCCGCTCCACAGCTCGTCCTTCCTGGCTCCCGCCACTGTCATCTGCTGGGTCTCCGCCAACCTCTGTGCTCGGAGTGTCAACGTGTCCCTCGGCAGCTTCCCCGCCCCCTATGTTCTGTGGGGGCTCCCAGAGGTCTGCTCCCTCCCCCCAGCTCTGGCTGGGGCTCTCCTCTGCAGAGGCAAACTCACTCCCCCTCGCCAGGCTGAGGACTCACCGTTCCCTCCTGCCCCGCCCCCCGGCCTGTCTCCTGTCCAGACTGAGCACAGCCTGTCCCTGGCATCTCCTAGGGGACGTCTGGCCAGGGAGCTGCTAATCGCCCCTCTGAGCCTTCCCCTGGCTCTGCCTTCCTTCCTCTGTCGCTGGGCCAGCTCCACCCCCTCGTCCGCTGCCCGGGTGCCTTGCTCAGGTCCCCATAGCCCAGCTGGGTCCAATCCCTGCGGAGCCCTTCCGCACAGCAGCTCCACATCTGGCACTCCCCGTCCATCCATGTGGCCAAAACTGTTGGCCATGCTCTGCCCCCCTTTCAGCGCCGCACCGGCCGCCTCTCGCTCCGGCCTCGACAGGCGCCACCCCGCCCTTTGTGTCCATCCAGCCCACGACTGCGCGGCTCCGTCCTAGCCCAGCGCTGGGGCCGTCACCCCTCCACGCCCCCTTCTCCCAGGCTGCCCGTGACCCCCCGAAGGTACCCTGCCTCCCTTCAAACTCTCTTGTGAGCCCTGCAGCCAATGGGAGGGGGTCAGGCTGCCGGTGGACAGAGGGTGCTGCACACTCAAGATGGCCAGGGCTCCACCTCCAGCCTCCATGGCAGATTTATTTCAGTACCGTTTCAGTGCAAATAAAGCTACTGGCAGTTTCAAGGCACGTGCCCTGCCCTGCCCTCGTGCACGGCTGCCCCATAGCACCTGCCCAGGTCTTGTTCCACTCCACATGTGCAT